AAAAAAAAAAAAAAAAAAAAAAAAAAAAAAAAAAAAAAAAAAGTTAAATGATAATGACAAGGGCAAACAGAGAACTTCAGTTTAATCTTATTTAATCTGCCTTTCCTATTCTTCCTAAATTAGTCTTGGGGAAAAACTTCCAAGATATCTCTCTGGATCATCAAGCTCATTGGTCTTCAAATACATATATACATATGTTTTTTTTTTTGTAATTACATATACATTGTATACATATATGTGTTAATAAAAATTTACATATTTATACATGTATTTACATATATACAAATACTGTGTGTATATATGTAAATACAAAATACATACATATATATATATATATACACACACATATTTATTTATTTATTTATTTATTTTTTTGAGACAGAGTCTTACTGTGTTGCCCAGGCTGGAGTGCAGTGCGTGATCTCAGCTCACTGCAACCTCCACCTCCCAGTTCAAGTGATTCTCCTGCCTCAGCCTCTCAAGTACCTGGGATTACAGGTGTGCACCATCTTGCCTGGCTAATATTTTTCTTTGTATTTTTAGTAGAGACCAGGTTTCACCATGTTGGCCAGGCTGATCTCGACTCCCTAAACTCAAGTGATCTGCCCACCTCAGCCTTCCAAAGTGCTGGGGTTATAGGTGTGAGCTACTGCACCCAGCTGGCTTTCAAGTATTTTTAAGTCACAAGACTGTGGACTAAACTACAGAAGACAGGTAAAGAAGAGAGACCCTGACCAAAGTAGGCAAGCAAGGACTTGGCCTCTTATAAAAATTTACAAAATATCACCTCAGAATCTTGAAAGAACATAACTTGAAAACAACTGATTTAGATTTTTTTGGTAAGAGTATTCAAATATCTTATCATTTTAATTACGATGTGTGTTTGAGTGTCTAGGCCATTAAAGAAAGAGCCACGATTTACCGGTGGCCAGGCAAGGTGGCTCACGCCTGTAATCCCAGCACTTTGTGACACCAAGGCGGGCAGGTCACTTGAGGTCAGGAGTTGAGACCATGATGAAACTCTGCCTCTACTAAAACTTCGCTGGGTGTGGTGGTGCGTGCCTGTAGTCCCAGCTAATTGGAAGGCTGAGGTGGGAGGACTGCTTGAACCTGGGAATCAGAGATTGCAGTGAGCCGAGATCACACCACTGCATTCTAGCCTGGGTGTCAGAGCAAGACTCCGTCTCACAAAAAAAAAAAAAAAAAAGCCACAATTTGATTTCACAGAATTGTTTACAAAATAATTATGAATTTGCTAAGCAGTAAGAAGTATAAAGTAAGAGGGCATTCTCTGGCCTTCTCTCCCAAGGGAGATTGTTTCTTGTTTTTTGTTTTTTTTTTAGATGGAATCTTGCTCTGTCACAAGGCTGGAGTACAGTGGCCTAATCTTGGCTCACTGCAACCTCCACCTGCTGGGTTCAACCGATTCTTCTGCCTCAGCCTCCCAAGTAGCTGGGACCACAGGCATGTGCCACCATGCCTGGCTAATTTTTTTGTATTTTTAGTAGAGACGGCGTTTCACCATGTTGGCCAGGATGGTCTCGATCTCTTGACCTCGTGATCCACCCGCCTCGGCCTCCCAAAGTGCTGGGATTACGGGCGTGAGCCACCGCACCAGGTCTGTGTGTGTGTGTGTGTGTTTTTTTTTGTTTTTTTTGTTTTTTTTTTAATTTTTATTTATTTTTGAGAAATAAGAATCTCATTCAGTTGCCCAGCCTGGAGTGCAGTGACACAATAATGGCTCACTGCAGCCTTGACCTCCCAGGTTCAGGTGACCCTCCTGCTCAGTTGAGCAGCTAGGACCACAGATGTATGCCACCATGCCCAGCTAATTTTTAAAATTTTTGGGACAGATGAGGTTTCACTATGTTGCTCAGGTTGGTCTTGAACTCCTGGGCTCAAGTGATCTACCTACCTTGGCCTCCCAAAGTGCTGGGATTATAGGCATGAGCCACTACGACTAGCCTGTTGTTTTTTTTTCAAAGAAGCTTTTGTTTTAGTGTATACATGGAAGTATACAATTTATAAACAGAGAACTGAATCTTTACAGAGTAAACTTACCCATATAAACATCACCCACACCAAGAATTATAACATGATCAGCACCCCAGAAACCTCCCTTATGCTCTCCCAGCTATTTACCCTTGTAAAGATAGCCACTATGCTGACTTCTAACATCTTATATTAGTGTCTGCTTTTTTAATTAATTTTTTCTGAGACAGAGTCTTACTCTGTTGCCCAGGCTGGAGTGCAGTGGCACGATTTTGGTTCACTGCAACCTCCGCCTCCTAGATTCAAGCGATTCTCCTGCCTCAGCCTCCTGAGTAACTGGGGTTACAGGCATGTGCCACCATGCCTGGCTAACTTTTGTATTTTTAGTAGAGATGGGGTTTCACCATGTTGGCCAGGCTGGTCTCGAACTCCTGATCTCCAGTGATCTGCCCACCTCAGCCTCCCAAAGTGCTGGGATTACAGGCATGAGCCACTGTGCCCGGCCTCTGCTTCTGAACTATATATATACAAACAGAATCATACAATTTGCATTATGTCTGCTTTCTTCCACCCAACTTATAAATATTGCAATAAAATTCATCATTTTAAAGTATACAACTTAGTGGTTTTTTAGCTTATTCTCAAAGTTGTCCAACTATCACCACTATCTAACTCTAGAACATTCTCATCACCTCATACCTATTAGCAGTCATTTCCACCCCCCACATCTTCATCCCCTGGCTAATATTCATCCTTCAACTTTGTTGAAGTTGTTGAGTCAACTGAGACTCATCTACAGTAGGGGCCAGCAAACTCTTGGTAAAGGCCAGATAATAAATATTTTAGTCTGTGGCCACAGTGTGTCTATTAGAACTACTCAGCTCTGCCTAGTAACAGAAACCATAGAGAATACATGAACAAATGGGTGTGGCTGTATTCCAATAAAATATTATTTACAAAACAGCCGACAGTTGGAGCGCCATAGTTTTCCTGAGGGTGGTGTGAGTAGCAGTACTGTGTTCATTTCTGTTGCTGAATGAAATTGCATTTTATGAATATACCAAAATTTATTAATCCATTCTACTGTTGTTAGAACTTTGGGTGTTTCTAGTTTTTTGGCTATCACAAGCAATGCTGCTATGAACATCCCTGTACATGTCTTCTGGCACACATATGCACTCATTTCTATCAGGTAAATAACTAGAACTGCTGAGTCACTCCGACATCATTACATACCGGATTCTGTTCTGTTTGGTCAAGAGGAAACATACTATATATGGTGATGCAAAAGCAAAAGAAAACCAAAGATTTACTTATTTCCTACTTTGTAGTTAGTCATTAGGTTTTACAGGAATTACTTTATTTAATCCTTCAAAGTGAGATTTAATTAGAGACAGGGAAATTGAGGCTTATGTAAGGTCACAATCAGATCTGCCTGCTCTAAGGCCTGTGCTTCCCCCCAGGTTGCCTATCACATAGAGGAGAATGAAATAATTCAACCTAAATTTACTGCTCAACAGAAAAACAATGGACATAAGCTCATGCTCAGTAGTTTATAACCTATAAACACATTGTAACACATGCATTCTAACATGGTTGGTCTTCCCAATATACAAACTGTTCAATGACTGAATTATCTGTTTAAGTTAATATACATTAATGATCGACACCAGGCTCACAAGTCGAAATTCTTACTCTGTGAACTTTCTGGTAGATATCATTCTAATTTTCAATGATACATTGATAATTGGTAAATTCCATACCAGTGCATTGGGTATATATTTGTGTATTGATTATTAGAACAGTTAACTTACACAGCAGTTCCCTTCATTCTTCACCTTCAAATCTAGCTTATTTTTAAAATATTAATATAATACTGTTTTTACATTTCTATTACCATATCCTTTTGAAGACGGCAAGCTCTAACATGCCAAAAAGCCGAAACTCACGAAGCCAGTGAATATTTCATTTCACGTCAGACATAAAACCTGTATTTCACTTCAATCATGTTGAATATTTCACAGAGCAGTCAGTCCACACTTACAGGTGGTAACCAGTGAGTCTTACCTTGCCATCTGCAGTGGTATTGATCCTGTAGTGATACACACGCCCCTCGTACCTGAGCGAGATAGACAGCTGCCCAGGGCTACTCTCACTTTCTCGCACCAGGAAGCTGCCATTGATTAGACTGCTGAGCAGATACTCAGCTGCACTGCGTGACACAGGTCCATGGTACCAGGAGTGTTTTTCCAGGCTGTTCACTGGGGTGATGTAGTTGCTTGGCACCCAGCCCTGCCCATTCTTAGAACGAACTTCACTCCACTCGCCATTCTGGTTGTAACCAAGTACTCGTAGCTTTTCACCTAGCCATAAGGTCATCACAGGATGAAAGAAATGTTAAGCCTTTATTTCAACTGATGAGGTATATCATCAAACTTTAAACTGATTAAAAAATGAATCCAGAACTTTTATGCCAGAAATTTTTTTAAATAGTGAAAACAAACTTGGCTGTTCAGCATAACCTGATTGCTCTCTCTGCCTTTTAGCTTAACCACAGAAGCATGGTCAGAACTGGTTTTCTGGAATTTACTATAGGGTTTTAAAAGTTTATATACAACTTAAAAAATATTCTTAAGAAACTCTATGTATGGTAGACAGGTTACTAAAATGGCTGGAAAAGGACACAGTGCTCACTCTTCAAAAGAAGAAAATTCACTTTCCCTCAAAACAGTTTATCAAGGAATTTATCTTATATATGATCAATGTTAACAACAATCACGGATTAGGGATAAGATATGTGATATACAAAGTGACTTCTAAATTTCACTTGGCACCAAGGCAAGAAAACCACTGATGTAAAAAAAAACTTAAAAAATGAACAAACAAACAAAAAACACGAACTACAGAGCTTTCAGCAAGAAAACTGTTTAGTGGGATGAGGGAATGGGCAGTCAGGATTCCCAAAATACAATCCCTTCCAGAACTCAAGTTTAAAAATAGCTACAGTTTTCTTATTTCCTTCCTATTCCCCACAAAAAATGAATCACACTAAAATCAGCGTGTGGAATGGCAAGCTCACTCTGAAGCTGGAAACCAAAACCCAAGTCACTCAGTGTATCTTTGCTGTCAACTTCAATGTTCTGGATTTTTCTATTAAAATTGTGAACATTAAGTACAGACTTCAACACATAACTTGCCCTAATATTTGCAGCACAATTAGGTTCTTTGGCAAAATAGAGAAAGTGAAAGAGGTATCACTAGTGATAAGTAAATGTTAATCTAAAGATTCCTTGTAGTGCCTCAGGCTCTTATCTCTTAGAGATATGAGCCTTCCTATAGCATTCACATCTACTTCTTCAGTGTCAGAAAGCAGAAGGAAGCCAAATCAATCAAAAGCACATGGCCCGCAGTATCAGGCAAAGGTTTTTAGGAAAACTCAAAATAATTATTCTTGTAACCATCTGTCCTTTTTTAGCGGCCTTCAGAAATGTTTCCACAGAATAGCTTTCTACTAGATACCATACACCATCTCACCTTAGACACATGGATATGAGACAGTGAGAAAAAACATGAGTATATGTATATATACATACCTATGGGTACATAAAATATACATATTTACAGATATGAGTGTGTTTGGTGTAGTGGTGGATATAAGTGCATAAACACTTGCCAATCATATTTACAGGAAGTAAAAAAAAAAAAAAGAATCCTGCTAGAAAAACTGAAGAAAACCTGTTGCTCTGTAGCTTTTACTAGTCCACATGAACGAGAAACAAAGAATATAAATACTTTATATATCTATACACACACACACCCATACTTTTTAAAAAATACTCTTGCTTCCTCAAAAAGAAATGGTAACGACAGGCTATCATAATTAGGATACCGCCAAAGACCCCAGGATTTTTTGTTTGTTGTTCCTTTTATCTGTTATCAGGAAAATTTTTCTACCCTGGAAGTTTTGACTACCATGGAAAATAACAGGGGGATGACTAGTCAGGATTCAAACACTGGCCAAACTGGCAGAGGAATCCTAGGGACAACTTTTTTGTTTGTTTTGAGACAGGTCTCCCTCTATCACCAGGCGGCAGTGCAGTGGTGTGAATATAGCTCACTGCAACCTCAACCTCTCAGGCTCAAGGGATCCTCAGACCTCAGCTCCCCAAGTACCTGGGACTACAGGTGCATGCCACTGCACCTGGCTAATTTTAAATTTTTTTGTAGAGAACGGGGTCTCACTACAATGCTTTGGTTTTGCACTCCTGGGCTGAGGCAATCCTCCTGCCTCAACCTCCCAAAGTGCTGAGATTACAGGCATGAGCCACCGCACTCGGCTGGTAGAACTTAAAAAAAATTTTCAGGCAAAACAGCATTTTCAATAAAAAACTAAAGGGTTGCTCTATTTTTAAAATATATTTTCTTGTCTTTTAAAATAATAAAATAGCTTTAGCATGACATCATTTTATATAGTGAGAACCTGATACAAAAATTTGGCATTTTGTGAATTTTAAGAGAAACCACTGTTGGCCGTAAGATAAAGGCCAGTCTTTGAGTTGCACACGGGTGGTTCCTGTAACTGATAACTAAAGAATCAACAGACTTTCTTTATCAGTGTTTCCTTGATGACTGGGCTATCTTGAAAAATAACAGAAAAACGTACCTAGGAAAGAATTTGAGTCATCACTTTTACAAGTTTGAATAATCAGTAAAGGTAAAATCAAGTATATTGTAGTTGAAAGTGACTACTACACAGTATAAAATTTCTGGCCCAGCGGAGTGGTACATGCCTGTAATCCCAGCACTTTGGGAGGCTGAGGCAGGCAGATCACGAGGTCAGGAGTTTGAGACCAGCCTGACCAACATGGTGAAACCCCATCTCTACTAAAAGTACAAAAATCAGCCAGGCATGGTGGCGCACACCTGTAATCCCAGCTACTCAGGAGGCTGAGGCAGGGGAACCACTTGAACCCAGGAGGTGGAGGTTGCATGCTGAGATCATGCCACTGCATTCCAGCCTGGGTGACAGAGAAAGACTCCAGTTCAAAAAAAATTTTTTTTTCTTTGACATCTTTTGTTCTATCCTCAAACTTTGTGTAAAATTTTCCTTCAACTGCATAAACATAACCCCACACACATAACATATTATCATCATGCTGTCCCCAAAACTATCCAACAGCTATAAGACTGACACTAGGAGATGATACACTTTTACTTTTATTTCTGTCCTATATACAATTTGCCAGCACATGCAACTATCATGAAAGTTAGACTCACTCTACACCTATTTTTTTAAGAGACGGCGTCTCACTCTGTCGCCCAAAAGACCAATAATGATATACATGATAAATTACATCAAATGATATTTATCCCAGTGTGCTAAAATTATTTTTTTTTTACTGTCTTTAAGTCTTAAAAGGATTTTTTCTCATAGGTCTACTTTAGACAGTATAGACAAATAATTTAATCATCCCATAGTGTATCCACTGTATTTGTGGTTTGTAAGATTTTTTCTTTTAAGATGGAGTCTCACTCTGTCACCAGGCTGGAGTGCGGTGGCATGATCTTGGCTCACTGCAACCTCCACCTCCCGGATTCAAGCAATTCTCCTGCCTCAGCCTCCCGAGTAGCTGGGACTATAGGCGCATACCACCATGCCTGGCTAATTTCTTTTTTATTTTAGTAGAAATGGGGTTTTACCATGTTGCGCAGGCTGGTCTCGAACACCTGAGCTCAGCCAATCCACCTGTCTTGGCCTCCCAAAGTGCTAGGATTATAGGCGCGAGCCACCACGCCTGGCCACACCTATTCTAACTGAACTATGGCTAAGATGAGCCATGTTGCCAGACCTCAGCGCTACTCAGAATGTTATCTGTGGACTTGACTGCCTATCTGAGGACTGTTCATTCATTACTAGTCCACAGTGAGATTAATAACTTGCACCCAAATATAAACCAACTACATCACTAAGCACACTATTTATTATTTAGTTCTGCTAATAGTTTTACCTTTTGAGGCAAAACTTTCTGCCTGAAGGTAGTAGCCCAGTGTTACACATTCTGGCATAAGCGTCTTACCTTGTTGTGGACCATTTCTGAATAGCACTGGCCTAGACAACATATATGTCTGTGTTTACATAGGTCAGTGAAAGGAATGGTAGGAATGGTTTCTTTGTTTTTTTTGATTTCTGTTATAGTAATATTCTCAGAAGAGTAGTAGTTTATTTCCATGGTAAAATCTTATAAAAGGGAATATTAAGAACATGACCAAATAAAGCAACCATTATTGATATTGTGTGTGTGTGCGCGCGCGCGTGTACGCACGCGCGTGCACACACAAGGGCAAAAAGAATAACTTTTTGAGAAAGAAGTAAGATTATGGGGACATTCTCCTTGTGTACATGAATTGGATTGCTAGTCTGCCTAAGCTTATTCTTGCCTTTTGAACCTATAAAAACCACTTCCGGGGAAAAAAATGTATTTCAAGATTTTTTTTTTTTTTCTTGAGACAGTCTCACTCTGTCACCCAGGTTGGTGTGCAGTGGTGCAATCTCGGCTCACTGCAACCTCTGCCTCCTAGGTTCAAGTGATTCTCATGCCTCAGCCTCCCAAGTAGCTGGGACTACAGGTGTGTATTACCACACCTGACTAATTTTCTCCATATTTTTAGTGGAGACGGGGTTTTGCCATGTTGGCCAGACTGGTCTCGAATTCCTGACCTGAGGTGAACTGCCTGCCTCAGCCTCCCAAAGTGCTGAGATTACAGATGTGAGCCACCACGCCTGGCCAGGCCCCTTTATCTCTTAACTATTAATGAAAACTTAAAAGTGAGAGGATGTTACATAGAGGCCTCACCTTTAGTGATGCTGAGTGTGTTATCACCACTTGCTACAAAATCATAAAGTGCAACGAAAAGATTGGGGTCACTCTCAGTGGCTCCTAGCAAGTTCTCCTTGGAGCTCCACCTGATAGCCTCATTTAGTGCCTGGGGTTCAACATCACAACCGTAGGGACGATGCAAAGCTTCTGAAAGACATAACAAGGAAAGGGAAATCACGGTGAGTTCAACAGTGAAACATTTGTTTGAATTCAGTACATACACAGTATTTCAGCTGCTGGCTCCGGAGTAGGAAAGAACTGTACAGTGTACGGTGTTATGAAGAATAAGCAAATAGGCACTGTGTCTCCTGAGCATGAGGAAGCAATTTACTTGTTGAAAATAAGGTAGTCAGAGAAAAAAACCCCACAAAATCAGGGTTTGGCTGTGATTTATATGCACTCACCAAAATCAGACAAAAACTAATAGGAAATGCAGTTTTCTCAAAATAGAAAAAAGAATCCCAAAGAGAAATCGTTACTAGCTTTATAAAACATATAGGATATTTTGTTATAGTGGTGGTTGTAGTTTTAAGGAAGAAATGATTGTAAGTTTCTTCCAAGTCCACCCAAACTACCCTCGTTCCCTTTCTCTCTCCACAGAAAACAAACTATAGAAAAGACAACAGGGGTTATTTTTCAGAATTAGGTAATAACGTATAGAACCAGGCCCTCTATTTAAGTATAGAAATAATTATTTTAAAAGTGCTTTTAGAAAACCAGTCCTAAAATGATCTGCAAAACAAAAGAAACACGTCTTAGCATTCCAAAACACCTTTAAGTTAACACGCACAATAATAGCTTGCAATTGTTCCTTATTTGAATGACTTTTTCTTTTTTTTTTTTTTTTTTTTTTTTTGAGGCAGAGTCTTACTCATCGCCCAGGCTGGAATGTAATGGTGCGATCTCGGCTCACTGCAACCTCTGCCTCCAGGGTTCAAGCGATTCTTCTGCCTCAGCCTCTTAAGTAGCTGTGATTATAGGCACCTGCCATCATGCCTGGCTGATTTTTTTTTTTTTTTTTTTTTTTGGTAGAGATGGTGTTTCACTATGTTGGCCAGGCTGGTCTTGAACTCCTGACCTCAGGTGATCTGCCTGCCTCCCACAGTGCTGAGGATTACAGGAGTGAGAGCCACCCTGTTCGGTCTGAATGACTTTTTAAAACTCTCTTTTGTTTTCCTGGGCAGTAAATTTTTGTAAATATCACTAACTTAATTGAAGAGCCTAGAAAATATTACTATCATCAGGCATTTATTGAGTTTCTACTCAAAGTTGTCCAAGCCTCTTAAGACCTGTTTTTTTCCTCAAGGCTTTACAGTTTCTAAATTGATTCACAGTACACACTACAGGTGATCCCCATACCATCTTAGTTAAAGATCACCTGCTTCTCACAGCCCAGCTCTATTATACAAAAAACACACTGTTCTTCCAGTATCAATTTTCTTGATCAGACTATTTTTAGTGCCGGTCTACAAAGGCAAACTATCCAACTATCTATGTCACATAACTACACTTTTAAGTCTCTCTTCCTCCACTTTTTTTTTTTTTTTTTTTTAGATGAAGTTTTGTTCTTCTTGCCCAGGCTAGAGTGCAATGGCGTGATCTCAGCTCATTGAAACCTCTGCCTCCCAAGTTCAACAATTCTCCTGCCTCAGCCTCCCAAGTAGCTGGGATTACAGGTGCCCGCCACCATGCCCAGCTAATTTTTTTGTATTTTTAGTAGAGATGGGGTTTCACCATTGGCCAGGCTGGTCTCGAACTCCTGATCTCAGGTGATCCACCCGCTTTGGCCTCCCAAAGTGCTGGGATTACAGGTGTGAGGCATTGTGCCCAGCCGAGTTATTTTTAATATAAAAATGGTTTTATCATGTATGAAAGAAAAAAAAAATCTTGAATTTGTGGCTCTGGTTATTTTCAAATCCATTCCCTGTTCTCCAGCTCTACTGCCAATGCCTTAGTTCAAATCCCCAACATCTCAACATCTCTCACCTGGACTGCCTCCAGTCTTGTCTCCCTCAAATCCATCCTCCACACAGCTGGCAAAGTGATCTATTTAAGACAAAAATTTGACCACGTCACTTTTCTTAAGCTTCTTCAATAGTTTAACATCAAGCTAAAGTCTCCTTATCATGGTCTTCAAAGGCCTTTCATGATCAGGTCTCTACCTACTTTTCCAGCTTCGCCTCTCCCCACTCCATACCGCAGACTGTAAACTTTAACATACACCACGCTGCTGCCCACCTGTGCCCTTGGTTCACACAGTCCAGACTAACGGGAATGGGTTCTCACCCCACTTTTCTTTTCTTTTTTTCAATAAGATGGGGTTTCACCATGCTGGTTAGGCTGGTCTTCAACTCTTGACTTCAAGATCCACCCACCTGGGCCTCCCAACTGGTAGAATTACAGGCGTGAGCCACTGCGCCCAGCCCTCATTTTTCTTCTGACTGGCTGATTTCTACTTGTAATACTCAGCTCCAATATATAGTAGTCCCCTTTATCCATGAGGAATATGTTCCAAGACCTCCAGTGGATGCTTAAAATCATGACAGTATCAAACACACTATATACTATGTTTTTCCTATACATACATAACCATGATATGGTTTAATTTATAAATTAGGCTAAGAGATTAACAACAATAAAAAAATTACAAGAATATACTGTAATAAAACTTATGTGAATGTGGTATCTTTTTCCCTCAAAATATCTTACTACTTTCAGACCCAGGAAGAGTGCCGGTAACTGAAACTGCATAAAGCAAAACCGTGGATAACGGGGGCTACTGCACCTCCCCTTTGTGCTCTCAAAAGCATCACAGTTGCTGCATTAATACTCTATCTTCATCTCTATATTCATAATACATTCTACCATTCTACGTATGTTTGTTTCTGAAACTTCACAACATGCTCCTTATATCTGGAATGGTATTCTTTTCCTACCCAGAGTTACATACTATGTGTTGAATAACTGTTAGCTAAACAAATGACCAAATTACACAAACATAAGTGACAGGAAAAAAGATGTATCTATCTTTTTTTTGGGGGGGAGGGGGTATGGAGTCTTACTCTGCCATGAGGCTGGAGTGCAGTGCGCAATCTTGGCTCACTGCAATCCTCCGCCTCCCAGGTTCAAGCAATTCCCCTGCTTCAGCCTCCCGAGTAGGTGGGACTACAGGCACCTGCCACCATGCCTGGCTAATTTTCGTATTTTTAGTAGAGACAGGGTCTCATCATGCTGGCCAGGATGGTCTCGATCTCTTGACTTCGTGATCTGACCACCTCAGCCTCCCAAAGTGCTGGGATTACAGGCATGAGCCACCACACCCAGGCTCTTAATCTTAAAATCATGTTAAACAATGTTTAAAAATTGGCTTCCGCTGGGCGCGGTGGCTCATGCCTGTGATCCCAGCACTTTGGGAGAGTGAGGCACGTGGATTACCTGAGGTCAGGAGTTGGAGACCAGCCTGGCCAACATAGTGAAACTCCATCTCTATTAAAAATACAAAAATTAGCCGGGCATGGTGGTGCGTGCCTATAATCCCAGCTACTCAGGAGGCTGAGGCAGAAGAATCTCTTGAGCCGGGGAGATGGAGGTTGCCGTGAGCCAAGATCGCACCACTGCATTCCAACCTGGGCAACAGGGCGAGACCCTGCCTGAAAAAAAAAACAAAAAACAAAAAACAAAATGGCTTCTTAATTGTCTACATAATATACACACAGGTTGGCTCTGTAATTCCCCAGTTTCAGAGTTTCATATTCCCTTCTTCTCTCGAAAAGTATATTTAAAATTCCAGTTAATTCAATTTTGTTTTCCATTAATATTATGATAAACTTAAAGAAATGTTCTGACATCCTGAAAAGTTAAAGTAGACACATTGTTCCTTATTTAAATGCAGAATTATAGTGAATGGGAACAGCTGTATTCTACACCAAGACAGACAATTTGGGATGACCAAATTAACAAAAATCCTTATTATAAAAAGCATTCTTCAAACTTGTCGCATTAAAAAAAAAAAACAAAAAAAAAACTAGCACTGTGGGAGGCCGAGGCGGGTGGATCACGAGGTCAAGAGATCGAGACCATCCTGGTCAACATGGTGAAACCCCGTCCCTACTAAAAATACAAAAAATCAGCTGGGCATGGTGGCGCGTGCCTGTAATCCCAGCTACTCAGGAGGCTGGGGCAGGAGAATTGCCTGAACCCAGGAGGCGGAGGTTGCGGTGAGCCGAGATCGTGCCATTGCACTCCAGCCTGGGTAACAAGAGCAAAACTCTGTCTCAAAAAAAAAAAAAAAAAAAAAAAACTGGTTGCATATACCATATGTGTCTTTATTCTAATGAAAAAATTGTCTACTCTAGCATGATTTCCACTAAGCTGCAAATGCCAATCCTTTATTAAAATGAAAACAATGCCAAAAAGTACAGAAAATATCCATATTTGTTGACACTGGTAACACTATGTTTAATGATTATCCAACAATTTATTTCATTCTTTGCAGTACAGGAAAAATTCCCCTTGCTTGAAATTATAAGAGGAACAAAAACTCAACAGTTTTAAAAAGAACTTTGGTACTGTCAATGACCAAGTTAGAAACAGCAATAGGCAGACACTGAAGCCAACTCTTAACCCCTATCAGGACAAAACCAGCAAATGTCACATATTTATACCTTATTTTGTGAAACTCAGTATATTAAATTTAAAAGTTGGCCAGGCGCAGTGGCTCACACCTGTAATTCCAGCACTTTGGGAGGCCGAGGCGGGCAGATCACCTGAGGTTGGGAGTTCAAGACCAGCCTGGCCAATATGTAAAAGCCCGTCATCATTAAAAAAAATAATACTAAATTAATTAATTTTAAAGTTTACAAAACAATAATTTGATCACCTGAGGGTGAAGACAGTGATGCAATATTGAGCAGCTTCCTGGGCTCACACTACCAGGAGCTGGCCAAGAACTGGATTCCCACAGTGGGCATAAGGGGCTCTGTGGGCACTGTGGGGTTGGTGTAGGTCACTGACTGGAGGCCGATTTTAGACTGGGTGCCTTACATCAACACCAAGTTTAAGAAGGACAATTAATTAAACTGACACCGCCACGAACTCCTCTGGTGCCTGGTGGTGCCAGCTCCTCCCATCTCAGCACCTACTGTATCTGGAACAGCCCAAGCTTTCAGGATGGACACTGAGGGAATCCACAGTGCAACTTAAGATTTCTTACATTTCTGAAAACAGCTGGGGTGTTTTAAGTACACAGCATTAAACCTCTATGAAACCTGCCCCCTGCCTGGATATTCATCATGCTGATAACTCAGTTACTTTGACTACACCCGGATAGCTTGAATGACCCAGGGGATCTCTTTTCAAGCTCAAAAATGTTGCTAGTTTAGGAGAGTTTTCCAATGGCTGTATCGCCATGATGCCCAGGCTTGTCTCGAACTCCTGAGCTCAAGCAATCCACCTGCCCCGGCCTCCCGAAATGCTGGGATTACAAGCATGAGCCACCACGCCCAGCCTGTTTAATTATTTTAAATGTTTACTGGGGAAAAGAAATCCCTAGTAATTTGAATGAATACCACATGCAAGGCACTGTACTGGGTTGAGAAATTAGCAATTAGTGATTAGAAATCACCAATAATGCCATTTGGACTGAAATACAAAACTACTATCCATCCTCCCTGCCAAATTTGTTTTTCTCAGAATTCCCCATTTCAGTTAATGGCAATTCCATCTTTTCAGGTGTTGAGGCCAAAAACCATGGAATCCTTTATGGCTCCTTGCTCTCACATATAATTCCAATCCACTCAGAAATTCTACTGGCATTGCCTTCAAAAATACATCCAGAATCTAACCACTTCTCATTCAACACCACCTTGTTACTACCATTACCCCATGACATTTCACCAAACGTTACCTTCTCAGTATAGCATTCTCCAACTATTCCATTTTAAAGTACATCTTTTCCTGATAACACTCTCACATCCCCCACTGACGCTTTTCCTGATTTATCTCCATAGCTCTTATTATCACCAAACATATTGTATAATTTACTTATTTGTTATATTAATGTATCTAAGTCTCCCTGCTAAAATGTTATTTTAGGAAAACAAGGAATTTTGTCTGTTTTGTTCTCTAAACAGTGACTCCAGAACAGTGCCTATATATAAGCGGCTCTCAATAAGGTTTGTTGAATGACTGAATTATGTATACATCTTTACTCACAGAGGACAGAATATAAAACAAAACTCCAGAGTCAGGCAAGTTTTTGGACTTCAAATGAGATAAGCATTTAAATTGGATGAACACAGGCTGGGCACAGTAGCTCATTCCTATAATCTCAGCACTTCGAGAAGCCCAAGGCAGGAGGATTGCCTGAGGCCAGGAGTTCAAGACCAGCCTGGGCAGTATCATGAGACTTCATGATTATAAAAAATGTAAAAACAGCCAGGGATAGTGGCTCACGCCTGTAATCCTAGCACTTTGGGAGGCTGAGGCAGGTGGATCACCTGAGGTCAGGAGTTCGAGACCAGCCTGGCCAACATTGCAAAACCCTGTCTCTGCTAAAAATAGAAAAAATAGCTGGCTGTGGTGGTAGGTGTCTGTAATCCCAGCTACTCAGGAGGCTGAGGCAGGAGAACTGCTTGAACCTGAGAGGCGGAGATTGCAGTGAGCTGAGATCAGAGCACTGCACTCCAAGCTGGGTGACAGAGCAAGACTGTCTCGGAAAAAATAAAAAAATAAAAATAAGCTGGGTATAGTAGCACACAACTGTAGTCCCAGCTACCCAGGAGGCTGAGGTAGGAGGGTTGCCTGAGTCTGGTAGGTCAAGGATGCAGTGAGCTGAGATCACACCATTGCACTCCAGTCCAGGCAACAGAGCCAAACTCTATCTTTAAAAAAAAAAAAAAAAAAAAATTAGATCAATAGCAATTCTGCACTGATGACAGCAGAGTGATGGACTGTCAATATGCAAGGACATGTCTATAATAAGGGGGAACTCTGAACCCAAAAGAGGACTTTTAGTTGTAGACAAGTCAACTTCCTAAAAATTTCTT